CAACGTCCTTTTTCATGCCAGGCCACTAAACTCGCTGTCTTGGTGCACTCGGTGTGCGACATCTCGTGACAAGAAATAACAAACTTTCCTTAATTTCATTGGGATCACCGGCAGCCGGATAGCTCCTCGTCCTTGTTTCCTTAATACGCGGTTTTTTGTGAAATCCTATCCCTGTTGTCACAGCGCTCAGCTTGTTAACTTGTCTCTGGGGTCTTTGGAACGTGCAGCTAAGGTTGCCACTTGTTTAGAGGCCAAACAATTGCCAGACACGCCTCCACTATCGAATACTTTCCATCCTATTGTATCAAAATTCTGCTAACATATTCGGTTTAACTCTACTTCGGATTTAGAACTACACCTGTTCCGACGTTCCTTGTGTCTTTGGCCACCGTGGACTTCTCTCTGGAGATCGGCAATTTCAATGTTAGTTCTTGCTTTCCTATTTCCATCTGAATGTCATTAAAATGCTCGCTAAACTTCTGCTGTCCGATTGAATTTACTTCCTTCTTCTGTAGAGCCGAACTCAGTGACTGGTAGCAACAATTACCAGTAAGACCAACCACGGATACCGAGTATAAAAGAGGGAAAGGTTATCGAACCCAACATGTATTCTGAGAGCTACAAAATACTGAATGTCAATAAGCGAAGCACGAAGCGATAAACCGAAGAACTCATGGGAAGCGCAAGTGAAGCAGACGTGCCGCCCATAAAACAAATGGACAATAGGAAGATACAAACAAGAATAAAATCCAATGTCACCAAATACTGAAAGCGCAACTCTTTCACGTCCACTACACTTCTAACACTTTGTACAAAAGTGACTCCAAGCTCTTAAAATTCCTGATGAATTTACTGTGTGATCCGGTGCGGCCCAAAAATGCCCTGCGTTTTGAGATCGGAGTTGAAGTGTTATGAATTGCCAGTAATTTTTGTAGTCGTGACTTGTGCTCTCCCTGACCGCCCTTGTCGCTAAGTGGTGTCGCGGACGTTTCTCGAATTTTGGGATTAAGGCTCAGTTATCTGTAATCTCGACTTCTGAATTGCTTGGAACCTTGCTTCCAGGTGACGGCAGTGTTCTTTTTTCTCTTCACTGTATACTACGGTGTCGTCTCCGTATACGGCCACATTATCTAATCCATCCAGCATACACTGTATCAAACGCCTGAAGATGAACGGGGCACCAGACAATCCAAATAGCATCCTTTTAAATTAGTACTTTTATCACCGATTGTAAACTAGTCTTCTCCCCGTCTTTTTGTTTGATCGCCTGCTGCCAATAACGAGTCTCATGTCCAGTACCGTGAATATCCTTGACTTCTGCAGTCTGTCGAAAATGTCTGCGACTGATGGCACTGGAACAGAACGACTCAGCGAGATTTTCTTCAGCCTTCTGATGTCCATGCAAAACCGATACTTCCTGTTGGTCTTCTTCACTAAAACGACTGAGTATTTGTACTGGCTGTGTGAGTCGGTACGACATCTGTACCTGCCTTCTGATCTCATTCTTTATGTGTTTTGTATTCTTATGGGTCCATGCGGTTGATACGGCTGATGTGATAGCGGAATAGTGTGCTTAATCCAGTCACAAAACCCTGAAGAGCTACTATCATCTGTGAATATGATGTACTTACCTACGAGCGGTTGCACGGCCAAACTTGTGTGGGAAACTGCTACGACTGAGACCTGGCCCCTTAGATCAGCAGACCTAAAGAGGCTAGTTACGTTCGACCACCGTTGCCTCCACAATTTAGCTCACATCTGGTGGAAACACCGCGTGAGCAACGAGCGTGTTCGACGCCTTGTTTACGGCACAGGAAAAGAGAATGATCCGCTCAGCACCGTTATTTCACGCACCAGGCTCCGATGGCTCGGCCACATGTTACGCATGCCAGCCCACCGACTCCAGCGACTTGTGTTGTTTGCGCGCCGGGGATGTGGATGGAAGAAGAGGAGGGGTGGCCAAGCGATGACTTGGTCGAGAGGAGTGAAGGCCCTCACTTCTGAGCTGGCCTCAGTTGGAGCGTCTGGGCTCCCTGGTTGGGGTCCGAAAGATGATGAACACGTTTCGCTGGATACCCTTGTTGATATGGCTAGGAGCCGACTTCAGTGGCGTTCTTGCCGTGCGTTTCTTTGTCTCATTCCATCCCTTTTAGCCTCACCCTCCAACCACGATCTCATTATTTAACATTTTATAATTTTGCATATTAAATTTTTTTGGTTGCTGCATAGTAGCCGGCAGAAAGCTTACCGGAACGATGCCCATCCGTTACCGGTACCCCAGCTGGCGTGCACTTGCATTTTATTCTCTTTTTTCTTTTAGGTATTGCGGCACAGTAGCTGGGGGGTTTCCCACCTCTAGCTAACGTGTGTGTGTGTGTATGCTACGACTGAGCACATCCGTGTGGATCTTTCTTTATCGGAAAGTGCTATAACTCCGTATATCGTCAATAGCTTATCTTCTTTCAGGTCGACGATGGCCTCACTGACTTGGAGAGCCTCTGCACCCAGGGTGGTCTGTTTTGCGTGCCGGAACACAACAAAGGGATGGTTAAATTTCCGACCGCTGATAGCAATCACATGCTTCTCCATACTATCTATACGTATATCGTGACTACCGACTGCCTTCACAACCATGGAATAGGTCTGAGTTTTCATTCCATCTCTGTGTGATTGTTTGGGAAAACCGCTGCTTTTATACCAATCAAGCAGTTCTCTGTTTTCCCATTCTCCTCTGCCATCGCATTAATCGCACCTTTGTTCAACGCTGCAAGTATGCACTCCCCTACATGAGAGCAATACCGTATATTTGGTACAAACAGTATACGGCGGCTTGATGGACATTGCCGCTTCCAGCCTCCCGGTTTCCAAAATAAATTTATAGGACACTGTGCAAAGTGTCACTTAAATAAACGATCAGTGTAAAAGAGCAACAAGTAAACAGTTCCGGACAAAATAATTTAAAGCCAGCGTTGAAATCTAAACTTTCATTTGGGACCATCCATCTTCACATGCGCAGCATCTTACTTTTTTTCAAAGCTTACGCGGAAGATGGCACCGGTGACCGTTAAATAGCTGACAAATATCCATGTTGAAATATTCTGGGAACACTAGTGTATCCATTGCGATATTGTAAAAATGGTGTTCAGTGACAAAGGCACGACCTATTTAAAGGTCTCGCCCACGAAAGGGTCCGCTCCCAATCTAGGCCTGGTCGCCTTGAATAGTTTCATCGCACCCTGGAGTATGGCCGAGTTGTCAAACTTAGCAATCAGTGCTTCCTTCGTGGTGGCTGATCCCAACTTAACAGTGCCGCTGCGCGTCGCTTCCAAAATCACTTTGTTCTTGGATTTGAGGAGCTCTGACTTCCCCCCGCAACATCTTCGGGGTACCCCAGGAACTCCCTTACGCCCCCCATCTTCAAATGGCTCCTGCTAAGGCATCTTCATGTTCCAAATCTGGCTGGTCACAGCAACTGATGCTATGAACGCAACGCAGTACATAGTTGAGTATTAGGGAACCCGCTGCTAAACGCTGTAATAGTTCGAACGCAAAAATTCGGGCCCATTTACTCACTTCCTTCGTGGGATCTGTCTTACTCTCCGTTCTGTTGCGCCTGTTCATTCGCAACGTAACGGTCTAGGTTGATCTATGCACTTCGTCCGCGGCGGTCTGCGGTTTCTCTGATTTCCCCATATCTTCTTGTTTGCATACCTCCTGCTCATCAGTGGTGCACCACAAGTAAGCACCGGGTGTGACGGACTTGATCAACAAGTGTTTATTCACACGAGCAAGGGAAGAAGCAGAAAGGACGTGTTGTATCCTTTTGCTGGAAGAGGCCGGTTTGGAAGCTGAAGTCGCTTGAGGTGTTTGCGTTCTAAATTCACGGGAACTTACTACTTTACTGACAATCAATAAGTAACCTATTTATTCTTTATTTTCTGATTGGTCAAACTCTATCCGCTTCTACCCACCCACAGTTCCGATATCTGACGTTGAAAATAAATCCACAGATATATTTATTTGCTGACGCTAACAGTTTCTGTTTAACGTTGTAAACTTCCAAAATGTAACACCTATTACCCATTGTTTTCCTGCCTTCCAGTAACTGCCTTTTCGCATCGCCTACCATTTGAACGATACTTGTGGATTTACTTACGTCACATTCTCGCTAATCGTTTCACTTATTACTACGTCTGTTGAATAACAATGTCCACCATTACGATTGTAGAACTATGGTAAAATAGTACCCTTTATTTCGCCCACCGCTCTAACTTTTACTGCTCAAACCTTGCGTTTGTGTAGTGAATAGGTATGTTATCCCACTCTCGATCTCTGATTTCGATGGTCATGTGCTCGTCGAACAATCCAAACTCAGACTAGCGGCTAGGAGATTGATCACTCACACTCACGGACACTTCGTACGCGCCACTCTGCTAATTACACGCGCACTGACGATGTCACCTCGAGTGGTGACGAAACATTTACAGTCAAACAGCCGAGCTCCGCAAACACTCAGTCCACCAACAGTACTGCACCACTGATTTGTGCCAGGAGCTGGCGACATCGAATTATGTAATCGTAACGTCTTTAACTTTGCTGATTTATACAATGTCGTCTGTATGGAAAAAAATGCAAGTATGAATTTAGCATTTCAGGTTGTGGTCGCGTACCGGTCTTTGGACATTCCTGGATTAGACCTTAGCAATAAAGCGGAAAATACCTGTCTCTTGGGTTGTCTGTTTAGGTTTAAGGCTAGGGTTAGACCTTAATGGCTTTTCTGACGCTTGTTAATTCACCTGGCTTTCTAGTTGGTTGCTACTTCATCGTCTTCCTCCCTCTAACTTCCTCCAAATTACCTCTACTTCATGGATCCATTTCCCTGTTTTTACAGCCCTTCCTCTCCACTTGACGGCACAACTGACTAACGACTCCAAACTTTCTTCTCACGACAATGGGCTCTCAAACAGCACCTCTACAAATGCACAGGATCCTTTTTCTCCAAAATACAACCGTTTATTACTGACAAATTCTAACTGATCACGTTATCTTATGTGCCCTCACAAAATGGCCCTTAATCAACCATCCGACCTATCCGAACCCAAATTCATCACGGTAAACAATGCGGCTCAGCAGTCCCACCAACCAAGAGGTTCTAAACGGAATTTGCTTAAAGTTAGTCAATCTCCGTTTCCTTACTTCCATTTGCTGTGTGTTCCATATCTCCCAATCCCCCGCGTTACATTTTTACACCACCGATTTACTTATAGGCATTGGTGCCTGTTTATTCTTCTCTCCATACTGTTTTTTGAGCTGTTCAGCAGAGTCTGCGTCTCTTGTTTGACCATTGCTACTGAAGACAGTCTGGATTTGAGTTTCCACTTTCATCTCTACGACGCATCTTCCTCGAAAACTGTGACTCCCAAGCTTTCGTTTGTCCTATCTACCAGAATCCCACTGCCCGCTTAGTCCTCGAAGTGTTTCCATGTGCCTATGGTTCTATCACTTCGAATGCTCTCTAATTCCATGTTTCTGTCCCATCGATCGAGCCCTGTGCGATATACACAACCATGTTCATCGATGCCAAGTGGCTTGACCGGTTTGAACGCATGGTTCCTTGCTCCCCTTGTCGATCATACGACAAAAGGGAACGTATTCCGCTTGTCGGTAAATATACCCATTTATGTATTTATTTATATTCAGACTAAGAGCGTGAAGAAATATTTCCCATTTAAGTGGCTCGGCTGTTGGCTAGAGCATCAGCTGAGAACGGGTGCGTACGATTACAATTGTCGGCGTTGGAGCCCTTTGCTGAGCTGGCTGTCATTGCACCCTTTGTAGGCAACGAACGTCTTTCGAAACAAGACGAACTTGCGATTGCTGCTTAAGGCTAAATCCACATTCCGCTATCCGTAATCCAGGTTAGATTTTGCATTTTTTGGGTATCAACAGTCGACCAAAATCCTGGTCGGTAGTAACTATCCAAGTGTAAGTGGAATTTGGTGACTAGACGCATATGTAGTGCGATCTATGATAATCAATCCCATCACCTAGTCTGGACGGACTTCTATCTTTAGTCCAGCTGCATATGACCACTTTACAATGCAAGCAAGAAAGTTGAACTGCTTTATGTTTGAAGGTTATGAGCGTTTTGGAATATCGGGGATATTCGTCACAGCTTGGTTCAGCCAAACGGTCATGACACATCCGGTAAATCCCTAGAAGGCCGCTTAATTCTTCTAGATTCGCCAACACTTTGCACACTTCTTTTCTACGCAACTCCAACTCTCACGAGTTAACGACTTAAGCCACTGAGCCAATGGGGATGTCAGTGGACTCTGCTGACTGGTCCATTACCATCCATGATATAGTAACGAATTCGTCCTCTAGTGCTATCTGGTGGGCAAAGTTGGCACTCTATAGCAATGACTTCAGAATGTCACAAGCCATCATTGGTGTTCACAAATTTTTAGAGTAGTGTAGATTTTACATACTTGATAAGTTTCGTCTCGGCGAGATCTCGATAGCCATCCCACATCCGGGATTCGAAGCAGATGACCTGGGCAGCTATTCCACTGAATCATTTGACGGTCTGCCACCAGACATCAGATGACGACTTTTATTATTACTTACAAACATGCGCAATACTTCGTGTAGTGGTGGTGATGCTGGTGCTCGCGGTGGTGGTGGTGGTGGTGCCACGGCGACTTTGCTGGTGGCAGATCAAGCGGACGACACTTCGATGGTATCTCTACTCAATCACAGCTAATCTCTTGTGTCCTCAGCGCGTGCTTGCCAAGTTTTTTTTATCCTTGCAATCTTACAATATCACAGCTTCACGGTCTTGACAGCCTCCGCCGTGACCAATGCTTCCGTGATTCATGTCACTTGGTTGCATGAAACCCGCATGGTTTAAGTATGATTCATATTACTGATGCATCTAGCTTAGACACCTTTCATCACTCCACTGAATGCGTCTTAATCAGCTTGACTGAGTTCGGTTACGATGGTTCACTTTGACCATTTCTTCCCATTTAGTCTCATGGATGCCACCGTAAACATGAATAGCCCGCCACGGTCTCGTTCTTAAGTTTGTGTGTGTATGAGAGTCCTACCGACCCATCCGGTTGTCTGATTAGTTTTTCTTCGGTTTGAGAAAGTATTGTCGAGTCTGCGCTCGCGGCCCAAGTCTTTAGCGCGTTTTGCCACTTGTTCACTACCCGTAGCGTTATGTGTGATGGACGCTCGCCTCTTGGCGCCGGTTTTCTCCAACACATCTAGTGAAAATTTTCCACTCGGTTGCAAAGCACTAGCAGACTGACATTACCCACCGTTATCTGCTGCTAAGTGTCATTTTGGCCTTTCGTTCGCATCCTTATTGTACTGGATGATTATTTATAAGCTGGTAGGTGTTTGCGCTCAATCCCTTTTCCCAGAACTTTCCAAATCGCTGTCACTTGGCTGTACTTGAATATTGCCCATGATATTAGCTAGATCGTTTGAAGCATACGTTGTATACGCCACATATCGTTAACTGTCTTGTCGGCAGTCCCTCCGCGTGTTGTTTGTAATCCGCCCTACTGCTGAAGCAATTTCTCCGCCGGTGGCCTAACGGACTCAGTTTTGTTTACCCAGTCACAGTTTGCTTTTGCCAGCGATCACCCGGTTCCACACATCGGAGACTGGGTTGTATGATGAAATTTCAAAAAGTAGTTGCACTATCTGGGCTCACTTGCAAAACTTCGTAGGAGATTCGCCTCCGTTTGCTCCCACAATCCCCGTCAATCCGAAGGCGAAATATGAAAAATAGATTACAGTATGCGAATAGAAGGATAAGATTCTCCAACGGTAGATGGCAGCTAGGGGTTGTACACGAAATAAATTAAAAATTTACGTTTCCGTCGATGGATTATCACCTATGTCTTTAGTCGGGTGTGGATCGACTGATGCACCAGCCTTAGTGGTAGGACAAGTGATTGATCGGAATTCTCAGTTCCATTCTTTGTTGGGTTTAAACCTGAATGCTAACTGAAGTGAAACGGGTCCCACTTGATTTTAACTCATGTTTACTGATAGATTGGTCACTAATATAGCAACTGAGTGGGTCCAGTGTGTCGCACTACTCCACAGCTTGTATATGACCAGATTAATTTTTATTTGCTCCTTACAAACTAGCAGATCGTGTTACCGCGCCCATTGCTTCTCAAGGCCTTGACAGTTGCCATCATACTTTGGCAACCAATTGTCAGAATCTGCTTTGTGCGCTTATCTCTTGGGTGGAAATCGGCCTTGGTAACAAACACCTCTCACTACAATGACGCAGAGCCAAAACTTAATTGGCTGGACCTTACCGTGGTGCGATGGTTTGTGTGCCTCAGCGATCCATTGAGCTATGCTGGGTGGTATATTTTTGCACCTTCAGAGTCACTCATACCAGATTGGTTAATGGTTAGAGGCCAGACAAACTCAGCCTCCTGGTCCTCCAGGTTAGGGGTTGGATTGAGGGTGGCTCCTTATTCCCTAAAACGGACTCCTTGTAGTCCAACGCCAAACCCGCTGCCTTGCGGTCAGGCTTTTGAACCAAAGGCTTTGGTTGAGAACCCTAATCGTTCTCCTGTCTAGGCCTGGGCAACCTGACAGTATCTTGCCCACGCAATACCATGAATCTTACCTCAAACAAATTGCTGATGCTCTGGCCACCACAGAGAATAATCAACGGTGCCATATCTGTTGCATCGAGCAGGGTGGATAGGGGTTAGGATGCTACTGCTCAAGCCTTCCCATCTTCTTATTCCCCATCTTACTTTTTTCACTCTTACCGTCCCATTCCAACTTCACTTATATCCCCCCAGTTTTCAACCCCCCGATTCTCGGCCCTCCCCCAACATGCTTTGCCAGGCATTTATCTTCTAATTTCAACTCACATCTGAACGCGGAGCGTCACTCCTCTCCTGTCGATAAGGCCATGTCCAACCAAGCGGTCCATTCCAGTTCATCGACTTCCATTTGGGGCCCTCGATCCTCCTTCAGATTGGCTTGCCTCAATGTACGCACACTGCTACAAATCGGTCAACAGGCAGCACTTGCCCGAACATTAGAGACCCTCTTGATCGATATCTGCTGCTTATCGGAGACCCGCCTGCAAGACTCGAGCTCTGTGCTCACTCTGCGATCCCCTTCAGGTGACGCAAGCAGTATTTTCTCATTGCGCCTATCCGGTGACGATGCAGCTTCGAGCACCGGCCAAGCTGGTGTTGGCATTGCCCTGAGTTCCCGGGCTGGAGCTGCTCTGGTTGATTGGATTCCACTCAGTAGCCGGATGTGTGCGGTCCGATTGGCTGGCTCGTTTAAAGCTTCGAAGTCGCGCGGGACTAATAGGTGTCTATTCATCATCGCTGCCTACGCGTCCACAAACTGTAGCGATGATTCGGTAAAGAACGACTTCTATCGCCAACTGACTCAGCTCCTTCGCCACAGAAGAAGCACGGACACTGTTGTGCTGGCGGGGGATCTGAACGCACAAGTTGGAAAGTTGTCCACTGATGAAATGCATCTGGGCAATCAGCACGGTGTAGGCTCCCGTAATGATAACGGTGAGCGGTTACTTCCTTTGTGTGAAGATGCTCGCTTATTTCATGCGAGCACTAATTTCCGACACAGCACCCGCCGGAGGGTGACTTGGCACCCACCAGCCTCGAAGCAGCCTTGGACGCAGGTCGATCACATTGCTATTAGTTACCGCTGGAGAGGCTGCCTCCAGAATTGTCGCTCGATTTGGAGCACATGTGTGGACACCGATCATGCACTTGTTTGTGCTGACTTGCGGATGCGCTTTGGCGGACGCCCACATCGACGCTGTGACCGCATTGACACCAGCCAACTGACAAAGCCAGCTGTCCTGAATGCGTATCGAACTACGCTGACATGCGAGTTGAGTAATCACTCACTGGAGACAATTGATGGTCACTGGTCACATGTTCGCCAGACCTTACTAGCAGAGGGCAAATCCTCATGTGGTATGTCTAAAAGCCAACATGGACACTGGGTCTCTTCTGGATCTCGAGAACTTATCGACGCTCGCCGGCATATCCCGGCTGGAGGCGAGCACAATGAAACTTGCAAAGAGCTCCGGGCAAAACTCCGCGCTAGCCTGCAGAGAGACCGCGAATCTTGGTGGTCTTATCGTGCGTCAGAGATGGAAGTGGCCGCTGCCCTTGGCAACCATCGTAAGTTATTCCGTCTGATACGAGAAACGGGCAGCAGGAGACCTGGTGTTATTGAAACAATTTGTGATGAGAGTGGACAGCCTATCCACAATTTGTCAAAACGTTTGGAGCTTTGGGTTGAGCATATTAAAAAACAATTTAATCGGCTAGAATTGTTCGATTCGCCGGTCACTGTTCGCCCTGCTCCGTGGGCTGTCCCTTTGGATCCACCCTCTTGCTCAGAAGTCGAACGTGAGATCGGACTGTTGAAGTTGAACAAAGCCTCGGGACCAGATGACCTTCCTCCAGCCCTCTTCAAATTCGGATACTCTGCTCTTGTTGATGCTTTACATGAATTACTAGTGAAACTGTGGGAGCAGGAGACTGTCCCAATCGACTGGAGCCGCTCCGTTATTGTTCCCATCTTCAAAGGCGGCTCGCGCTCGGAATGCGGCAACCATAGAGGAATCAGTCTAATCTCTATCGCCTCCAAATTACTCGCCTCCATAATTCTTCACAGACTGACTGGCACTCGTGAAAGCCAGATTCGTGAAGAGCAAGCCGGGTTTCGTCGTGGTCGTGGCTGCATCGACCACATCTTCACCTTGCGTCAGTTGTTGGAGCACTGCCACACATATTGGCGGCCTACCCTAGTCGTGTTCCTCGACATCAAAGGTGCCTTCGATTCGGTTGATCGATGTGCCCTTTGGAATTTTTTACTCAGGAAAGGTGTGCCCGAGAAATACATACATATTATCCAAGCATTATATGCGAGTAGCACGGGCTTGCGGCAAGCTGTCGCCACCCTTCAATATCTCCCGCGGTGTGAGACAAGGATGCCAGCTGTCACCTTTCCTCTTCAACTTCGCTATTGACGAAGTCATGGACGTTGCATTTACTGGACATGACTTGGAAGGGGTGAAGCTACTCCCAGGAGAACGACTTCTTGACTTGGTGTATGCAGACGACATTGCCCTCATCTGTGGCAGCTCCCAGACGTGCCAAGCCGCGCTGGACAGATTAGCACTGGCTGTCAGTCGCTTCGGGCTTTGCTTTGCACCACCGAAGTGCAAAGCGTTCCTCCAAGATTGGCAGGGATCGCCCACTGTGCTGACCCTTGGTGGGAATCAGCTAGAAGTCGTTCAGAAATTCAATTACATGGGAAGTTGTATCAGCGCCCTTGGGATCGAAGACAGGCAACGCCGGTCGACCGAGTCGAACGCAAATCGGATGTCCAAAAAGCGACAATGGTAGACTGGCCATAAAGGTGGTGCTGCTCAAGGAGTTGGCTGAGTACAAACATATGGTCCACACACCATCGGCCGGGGCAAAAACGAATCTATTCCCCACTGGAGTGTAGTTCTCGAATCTATGTTGGCCTGAGCAGTAGCATGTATCTTAGCAAGTTGGAGGCGACGGATATTAGACTGATTCCTCTGTGCTAGGTGCATGAGGTATGACCACACTTTTTGATGATGGGTACGATGATTGACTCGCCCATAAAGGATGGAACCTTTTCTTCACACCAGATCTTCGAAAACAGTGTTTTGCTAACTGGCTGCCAATTGTCTCACCACCGCAGTTGAACGGTTCCGGAGGAAGTCCATCTGAGCCAGCAGCTTCGAATCGCTTCAAGTGCGGAAGCTCACGATCGACCACTTCGTAGGTGGTTCCAGTGAAACGTTCCAAGGCGCGCAAGTTGTCCTGCTTGTTAGGCACCTGGAAGGAGGGGTCCAACTGATCTGAGGGTAGAAGTGCTCAGCCCATCGGTCCATGCGTCTACGCAACTAAGTGATTGGTGATCCAACAACCTCGCAAATAGGTTCACTAATGCCAGGTCTTCTGTGCCCAATGGTCCGAGAAATCAGGAAAAGCTTGCGAAAATTTCCGGAGAGAGTTGTTTTCCCCATCTCCGAAACGCGCTGAGATCACCAAGTTTCACGATGGTTACACAGGCTTTGCTTGAATTACTGGCTGAGGTTGCAGGAGATTGCAACGCAGGTTGATTCAGCTGAGATTGCTCAGCGACGGTCAAACCATTCCAAATAACTAGCAAAGGTCCAGCGTCTCACAAGACGCCCAGCGATTCTACAGTATGATTGACCGAAAGAAAGCAACATCTTCTGCAAGAAATTCCAGTGATATTCAACATCTGTAAGTGGGGAATGAGCGAACGCATCTGTTAAGCAGGATTGATAGGCCAGTTGAATGGAGAGGTTAGCTATTTTGTTGGTATCCAGCGTACTGTGCTTAGATTTCGAGGAACCACCAAAGCTCATGCAGGTGTCCGCACAGATCAGAGCGTGATCTAAGTCGTAGTATGTTGACCAAATTGATCTGCAATCTGGTACGCTGCCCCGCCATCTGATGCTGACTGCAGTGTAATCACTTGTGTTGGCGAAAAGCGACACCAAGTGGTGTTGCGTCTCCCCGAATGCCTGAAGTTTGCGCTGGCGAGAAAGAGCCGGTTGTCCTCACATAACATGAGAATCTTATCTCGTCTATCAGCACGACTCATGAAGAGCATGACAGCCACCAAGATGACGTTCGCATGGTAGCATGCGACCACCCGTGCACTGTAGTCTCCGACAAGCACGACGACCGGATTTTTCGGCTTTACTTCAAATCTGATGAAGTCCTTGATAGAGGTCATGCTTAACCGATGCACAACTGCAGTCCGTTGGAGCGTAGGCGGAGACCACAAACAAATTGACTCTCTCTCTCTCTACCATGCCTATTGATCTTGCCTGATCCTTGAAGTCGAACCACTGTTGTTAATCGGGAAGCATTCGAGTAGCGAGACCTCAGCTTTGTCACTCAATGCAACCCCAACACCAGACAGACCAGCAGCAACAGCCTCTATATCACTAGACAAATGTAGAGCATATTTGGCCATGAGGTCAGCAGGGGACGATAACGTAACTACAGTGCTTGAACCCTGTAACCAAGTCTCATGTGGCGTTGGTTGAAATCAATGGTTGTAATTGGGTGTCAGATAGGTCCATGTTCAACTTTCACAATAAAAATCTCTGTAGTGTTCCTAAGAGCTATCTTATAATTAAACACATTGTATTCCTGATAAATCTTCGTGGCACACTGCTAAAGGTATGATCACAATTTTACAAAGATATATGAATAGTCAAATGCAACATTCAATAAAACGCTTGGGGGAACTCACAGCACTCAAAACTTGTTAGGAAACAAATGTTCAGCGCAGTTCTGATGTCAAACAGACAAATGTATGTGTGTGTACTACATGTGTGAAGAATGGTGCCCGCGCGAAAACTGATGTAGGCAGCTGTAACAGTGAAAGGGAAGAACTGTCCAGAGTCCAGGTAGTTGGGGCTGTTTGTGGATGTTATTTCCCCTGAAACAGGAAGTACCCGTTGAACTTGTTCCGCAGAACTTTTAACCTCGGAGTTTTGAGTCCAGTCCTATTCCGTCCAGCAGTCAAAATATGATGTCTCTATTGTTTACCTACTGCTCTGCTGAGACGCTTAAACGATTTCACCAAGTGATATGATTTCTCGGCCCATTCACTTTGTTGCCCTATGCTTTCCGCGATAGTATACATGCTCCAGTCCTCCTCAGCGTCTTTTCTCTCGATTCACCTTTGTTCATTTATGTTATAATAAACATTTCTTCCGAACGCAGCCCATTGGTAAGATACACGTGTGCGTTGTGCCCAAATGGCTCCGTTTGAGTCTTCTTTTGATCCGTTCTTATCTATTTCAGAGCGAAACCAAACAACGTCGGCCCTACCCTGGTCACCCTACTACTGTTCGCAAAGGTTGTGGCTTACAAGATCTTTGTGAGGATGATCGCGCAAAACTAACCCGTTTGATTTTCGAGTTAGCTACGACTCAGCAGGCGCTTAGCGATCTGCAGCGTGCGCAGACCAACAACCATGCTGTTTCGCCCTACTCCCAGAATATTTCCTCCACGACACTCAGAGAATTGTCTCCAGGAAGAACAGTACTATGTAATCGAAATCCCAACAACAGCTCCGAATCAGACCACAAGTGCCCAAGCCTACCATCAGATGAAGGTGTAAGTTGAACGCAGCATGTTCAGCGTTTATTCACCTCTGGTGGTTCGTTTAGTGATGTTGAATATCTTCAGTGCTCGCTCGCCTTTGTCTCGCTTTCCCGCAGTCTCCCTCTGTATGTATGTGTGTGTGTGTTATATTTTCGCATCTGCGTGCACTGCCTTCAGCAGAACAACTGGAATAAACAGGACGATTTAACGTTTGAACAAAGCATACCGCCTAACGAACAGCGCTGTCACGCATGTGAGCGGTCACTACACCAAATGGGAAATGAACGGTTCAGGGTCTAGCGGTAGTTTGCGTCTAATGTTCTGTGTGCAATTGCAAGAGGTGATGCACACGTTGACTGACACATTGCATATTGCTAACAGGTTCAGCCCCTACTCATAGTCAACCACCACGCGAGTCTGTACGCAGCAATTGCATAAGTACACCGCCGCACACATACCATGTGAGTAACTTAACAGAATGGCTCCCAAAAATACTATGGTCTTTAATTTCCAAGGCAGATACCCATAGTACTCTGTGAAGAACACTCCACTTTAAGCTTTCTCGCTAACAGAAATTAATTGTGGCTTGCTATGACTCCACAAGACATCTCAGGGTCCTATCTGTCCACTAGTGTTTATTTACAACAGTCCATCCGATGCAAGTAAATGTATTCAAAGCGGACCAGTCATTTCATCGTTTACGGAATTCAAATCCACCTTGATTAAGGCCGATCCCACTCCCGGGAACGGCACCTTAACTCAATCCTGGATAGTCTCGCTCACCTAAGCTCCACACGAATTCACTCAAAACCAAACCGCGTACGCCTAAGCTGTATCTCACCAGGTTAACATCGATACGCATGGTGATGCTGATACAGAGTTCACTTGATCCGGTCTTATCTATTTCAGAGCGAAACCAAGCAACGTCGGTTCTACCCTGGTCACCCTACGACTGTTCGCAAAGGTTGTGACTTACAAGATCTTTGTGAGGATGATCGCGCAAAACTCTTCGTTGAATGTGTAACATTAAGTGCTATGTCACTAAACAATGGGAAATTTAAACCAATTGTTGTTAAGACTGATTGCACGCCACCTGAAAGTTATAGGTTGTGTTCATGCCAACGATACTGGAGCTCTGTGTTAGCTAATCGTTCGCTTAGGCTTCATCGGAGACCTCCCGTAATCGGGCGGCTTACACTTACACTGAGTCACAGGGCAGACATCGGCACGCTCGAAGAACGCGACAAGAAGCGTTTACCGGAATATGTAACAATAACTACTCTGTATTTAAACGCCACGTTGATCGTGGAGGAAGCCTGCTCGGACTCACGGTGGCCACAGTGAAGCCCCGCCGTATTCGGCAAGCTAAGCGTAGTGTACTTTCCACGCCACCAGCAAAGCGAATAAAATGTGAGGCTCCAAACGAAAAGCGAATCTGTTCCTCTGCTAACAATAGCCTCATTGCAGCACTAAGTGATAAATTGCTGTCTGTGTAATCA